TCGGTATCTTTATTCATAAATTCAAAACAAAACGACTACAATATCAAATCCTTAGCAGCCAGAGGCTGAACTGGGGATTCAATTTACAAAATAGAAAACCTGAATTAAATTTACAATAAGTCATTATCATTATTAATATCAATTAAAATAGTCAATATTATTATTATTTTAATTAGTTAAAATTATTATTTAAAAATTTTGATATTAATTAATATGCACAAACATTAAAATTTCCGATTTAAAAAAAAGCAAAAATTCAAAAACAAACTAATGAAACTTAAACTAATATTAAACCAAAACACCACCCGGGACAGGATCCGCCCCCGGAGCACAAGTCAACACTCTCGCAGAAAGGACACATAGGAATGGAATAATTTATTTCATTAAGAAGTTTGGTGAGAAAAGGTATAGGGCTATTTTTAAACCTTTCTGTTCTAGGAATAACAGTTTCGAATTTTCTGAGATTACGGAGACGCATTGATGAGGTATTATTGGATGTTTGGAACCAATGACGAAACCTGTGATTAATAACTGATTTCTGGGCAACTTTCTGCAGATAGAGGACCTGCGGTCAGGGAGCGACTCCAGCCCGAGCGTTGCTAGGGCACTTTCGTATGACACATACTCACGTGCCAGAATAATGCGACATGCGCGCTTTTGGACCCTCTCAAGGCGATGGATCTGTGCTCCAGATAATCCAGTTCCAAACTGGTGTGGCATATTCGAGGGTTGGGCGAATATAACCAACATAGATGGTTAAAAGTTCATTGGAAGTGAAACCTACCTCTCTCAATCGTTTAAGCATAAACATTTTTTTGTTAGCATTTCTTTCAATTTGATCGATATGACCATCCCATTTAAGATCGTCTTGAATCACCACCCCGAGGAGTTTTTAGTTAACAATTGGGAGTATGGTATGTGAGATGTGAAAATCTATGTCTGGTAATCTCCTACGACTAAAATACACCTGCATGATCTGACACTTGGAGGGATTAAGATATACTTTATTTCTCACTGATCATTGCTGTAAAAGGTCCAGGCAAGATTGAATGGAACTTGGAGAGCTAATTTCATTATTTTCTCCAAGTGTCAGATCATCAACATATTTCCAGACATGGATGTTCAGATCCTCAGCATTATATGGATTTAGGTTAAAAGCGGAATTGATAACACCAAGAAAGATAAGAGGGGCAAGTATAGTTCCCTGTGGAACACCACATGAGAGAGATTCCCATTCGGAGTTGTGATTCAAGTATCTACATCGTTGTTTGCGATTAGAGATGAAGTCGACGACCCACTGCAAAATAGATGGAGATACGTTCATATTAAGGAGGCTGCTAAATGCTACTCGATGATCAATTACATCAAAAGCTTTGGTAAAATCAGTCAAAGCAAGTGTACATTACCAGGTTTTTCGACTTCCGATATTAATTTATGGTACACATCTATCAAGCAGTGGGTTCCAAGTGTCAGATCATCAACATATTTCCAGACATGGATGTTCAGATCCTCAGCATTATATGGATTTAGGTTAAAAGCGGAATTGATAACACAAAGAAAGATAAGAGGGGCAAGTATAGTTCCCTGTGGAACACCACATGAAAGAGATTCCCATTCGGAGTAGTGATTAAAGTATCTACATCGTTGTTTGCGATTAGAGATGAAGTCGACGACCCACTGCAGAATAGATGGAGATACGTTCATATTAAGGAGGCTGCTAAATGCTACTCGATGATCAATTACATCAAAAGCTTTGGAAAAATCAGTCAAAGCAAGTGTACTGACATTACCAGGTTTTTCGGCTTCCGATATTAATTTATGGTACACATCTATCAAGCAGTGGGTCGTCGACACACCTTTTTGATTCCCATATTGCTGTGAATGAATAAATGTCTTAATTATTGATTTTGAAACTCTTTTTTTCCCGCAATTTTTGCGAGTGTTGGGGTGAGAGATAGGTCTCAGTTTTTCAACTTAGACACACACATACACCTACATATACATACACATATACACACACACATACACATAAATATATATATATATATATATATATATATATATATATATATACAAATATACATACACACACACAATACACACACTCAAACATATAAAAAAGTTACAAATTTCAAAAATAAAAAATACACCCCTACTAACACAAGAAATAAGAGCACCCATCCATATAAAATTAAAAACATAAACAAAGAGCATTAAAGCAAAATGCATATCCAGATTTTACATTAAGTAAAAGAAGAGCAAAAGAGCACACACAAAGCAACAATATAAGGCAGTAATACACTTCATTACAATTAGGAATTTTTTTAATCGGTACCGGTACGTTTGTTCCATGCAGACCGAATATATCTTTTACAAAAATTATCAATCACTTTGTCAGAGTGGTCACAAATGGGAACAGAATCTCCACCAAGAATGAGTTGAAATTTATCATCTGTGTTATAAAAGTTATAAAATTTGTCCATGTTTCAGGATCATTACAGAGATAAAGATCTTCTTTAAGGATCATCAACTCTTCTTTTCTGTTAAACATAAAGTGTTTAAAATCTTCGACTTCACCGTTTTTACATAGCGTGCAAAGACCTGAAACATCTTTAGACAATTTTAAAGTTTTACAGTCGAGAGCTAGAGTATTAGATCGAATTTTAAACTTCAAACTTGAATCATTAAAATTTATTTTGTCAAGTAAATATTTTTCTAACTTTGGGTATTTTTTCAATTTTGAATATTCTTGACGTGAAGATTTTTGACTTAGATTATTTGACCACTCTGATTTGTATGATTCAGACACACAGCCTTCAACATAGTTTACAGAAAAAGGATTAAACGAATAATTTACAGTATCAAACACATGATTATAAAGATCTACATCTGTACATTTTGCAAATATATCAATACAGCAACTAAGAAACTTAAATTTAAGTTGATCAAAATCACAATTGAGTTTTAACATTGAATGCAGTACAACATCCGGCCATAGTTTTCCATGATGATCAAACGATTATACAATTTTGCTATTGCAATCTCATGTAGGTTTGAGAGGGGAGCCCATCCAAGATCTCCATAACGGGCCTCTTGAGGACGTATCTTGGGGCTTTAAGCAAGAAACGGGCCATTTGTGATTGCAGCTTTTCAGGTTTTTCATTATCATTCTTTGATTTACAGTACCAAACGCTATATGTAGTTTATGGATGGGAGCGCGATGGTCTTCCACAATATATTACCGTAATATATACGGTTAAAGTTATCCAGGTTACCTATACCTTTAATATATGCAATGAGTAGGTTTCCCTTCTGAATTACATACTCATAGTATGTTCTTTTAAATTTGAAGAAATGTAGATTCCTAAATATCTATGAGTTAACCTCTTTTAAAAAACTGTCACTCAGTTTCCCCTTTTTATTTTTATTTAAACGATTTCCCACGACCATAATATTTGATTTATCATGGTTGAATTCTAACTTCCATTCTTTAGCAAAACTATCTGCAAATTCTAACATTAAACACTGATTACTGTTTTGACAGCATTTCAACCTTGGAACTACTGAAGCAAATAATTACCCAACCTAACCATGGAGGAAATATATTTCCTCCATGACCTAACTTAGCCGTTATCCTGATAGCTTATCGTCGATTTTGCTATGCCAAATAAAGATACTGTATTGCTACGCCTCGTATTACATATTGTACATATTTGGCAAATAAGCTCTTAGATATATAAACTAATCTTCGTTAGTAAAAAATTGAACTTTATTACTCACAATTCTCGGGAAAAAACGACAAATTTTTAATGAAATTTGCAAAAGCTGGTAACTTGATAGAGATCCTGCTGCAGACCGGCAGCGAGACATAAGTCAGCCACGCTTTGCAAAGCAGCCAG